ATTTCCCATCATCAGAGGTAGAGTCAAAAAATTGTCAGAGGGATAATTGCTTGAGACACTGTTTTCAGACAACAGGATAAATTATGGAAGAACTTACTGTTTTCCCAATTACAGTTCCCTGTTGCATTAATATCCACCTTGTTATAGTAATTAACCTACAGCGTCACACTTCAATAAAATACCGATGGAGTCTCCTGCTGCAAATGCACAGCTTTCACGTTTATTTAGTGCTCCCAGCACAGACCTTGCCGCCTGGCTTAGGACACAACAGGCAGGCTGTAAATACATGCCTTATATTGCCAGCTTACCGCTGCAGGGTCAGGCACCTACGGGGAATGCTCAACTTAGCAAAAGGATGAGGTGTGTCTGTGGCCAAGGTTGAGGGACGTGCGTGCCCTCCGTGGAAAGGCAGAGCGGAGAATTGCACATGCAATGCGACGTCTGATGGCATCGTGCACCGTTGTGATACGGTCCTTGGATGATACTCATCCAGCTGGACTCGCTACTGGATCCCTGTGACGTACAGGGTCATCTTCCACTGCCCTGAGTGTTTACTCATCAGTTATAATGAAAGGTATTCATTTCAAACGAGCAGCTCTGGTTGAACTGTATTAATGAACAAAGAAATGTTGGAAGCTGCCAAAAGAAGAGGCTCAGATCTGTGTCCTGCTGAATGACAACAGAGAGAGCCCATTCGAGTGCCCCAGACATCCCCCTGATGCAGTTAAATCATTATGAAACGTAATTTAAGTATTTTGCTCCAGGTGGAATTAATTTTTTTTTTCAAATTGACTCTACCCCCAAGAGTTAATGTTTCCATTAGTGCCACAGCACGCCCTTATAAAATTCATTGAATTTCATGCATATATTGTTGCAGATTAAAGTTAAAAAACTTGTCATCTAAGTTAACCAACAATATTTCAAAGGACTGAGGGGGGGTAAAAAGGGACAGGAGAGATAACTGTGCAAATGGTGCTGCTTGGGAAATATATTCCTTACATGATTCCTTCATCTCTTTAGAAAGGCTTTGAAGTTTTCTAGTGAATAAATTTCTCGCAACACAGAATGAGTCCACTCTTCTGCAAAGCTAATTAAGCAGCAGTATGGCAGGACAGCATCACATCGGGTTTGGGGAAGGAGAGCAGATAACTTTGTTTCTTTAGTACGATGGTAATCCCTAGTTAATAACAAACATTACGGCAAATAATATTACTGACCTTGCAACAAGCCACCCATCTCCATACAGGCACCATTTCCTTTCCCAGCTGTAGCAGTTGGGGTTTCAGACTAGGAATATTTGACAGAAAGTGATTAATAGGACCCTGAAATCACAGGCATCCATTAGGAGAGGTTCAAGCCTTAAAGAGGAATGAAATCTCTACCCTGACCCTCTCTGTGATGAAGTACATTGCAGTACCCTCTGATAAGTATAAAACCATTCCTAGAAGGGATCAAAGCTTGTAGACATGATGGTGAGCCCCTAAAGGGCTGTCACTGTCATCCATTCCTGCCACGGCAGAAGATCTGGGATGTTAAAATCCACCAAGGTGATCGCAGGAGATCACGATGGGACCTCAGGGGATCCAGATCAAAGGTCGTCCCCTCCTGTCCCCTTGAGATAAATACAGCTTTGCATTGCAGGTGAAGGGACACAAACCTGGCTCCTTGGAGGTTTCTTCCTAGCTTTCATGGGCCAGGGAGAGGTCACAGGGAGGCAGATCCTGTCCTCCTCTTGCCTGCGGGGATGTGCCACTGAGGTGCAGATGAGGGAGCCCAGTGTGGGAGATGGGGTGGGAGTCACTGCTTGGGTCACCTTCTAGAGCCAGAAACCTCGTCTTACTGTGGAGTTTTTCTGGCTCCTGTGTGTTTTCATGCAGTCTGTGGTGGAGTGGATGCTGAGTCCTTCAGCATGCCACAGATGCTGTTCACGCTGAGCCTCTGCCGCTTGCTTCAAGTGACAGGAGTTTCTGGGAAAAACACCCCAAATCTCTTTAAAATTTTTCCTCTGTTTAATCCTGCTCTTTGCTCCAGAAATATCATACTTCCATAGGTACACACTTTACAGTTAGCATAGTGGCGAAGCTGACCTGGAAACACCAGCTAGACAACTAGGTGGACGACTAGCAGCTCTAATATTCTTCAGCTCATTCTGAAAAGTAAAAGCCTCCATGGCTCACACATCCTCTGTGTTCACCTTACAAGTACATGTGAACTCAGTTGCATTTTTTTGCACCACAGAAAGTATTTGTAAATTATTGTAAGCCCATCGATGTAGTTTAATGCTGTGCAAAACGCAGCTGAACGTTTTCCATTTGTCACCCTCTGATCTACTTCTTCGTTATTTCTTTGCAGCTCATATTTGAAGGGATCCGGGGCCCCGGCATCGAAGGTGATATTGCTATTGATGATGTATCAATTGTGGAAGGAGAGTGTATGAAATCAGACCAACCGGCCAACAGTAAGTGGCTCTTCCACATGCGAGGGAGAGCAAATTGCTTCTCGTGGTTGTAAATTTGAGACACCTTCTACAACAGATTTCCTCCAGGAGAACAATACATTGTTTGGTTCAGTTGGAGAGGCTTAAAGTGAAACATTTTCCTTGGAAGCAAGGTCTGGAGTCAAAATGTCTTTGTTCAGATAGGAAAATGCTGGTTTAGCAGAGATGCAAGTGAAAGGCCGATGGGCATTAGGCAGAGGTGAGAGCAGGGGGCTGCACTCCATGGTGGGGCTGAGCTGGGCGGACGTGATTCGAGATGGGCAGACAGATAAAGCGACATTAAAAAAACATTCAGGGGGTCCAAACAGTATGAAATTAATGAATATCAGTGTTGTGATTCCCTGTGGACCTTGTTTCATCCCTCCACCCCCACGTGTGCATTACAATACAGACCTTAACTACACAGCCAGATGTTTTTTTTTTTATCCCGACGTCTCCTGCCTTATTCAGTTGGCGAGCACTGTTCTCATCTCCTCCTTGTAGGAGGTGACCTTGCAGAATGCTGTCCCCACAGAGACCGGGGCTCTGCCCGGGGAGGTCGGTGGCACTCGGTGTGACAAGCGGAGACAGCCCGGGTGAGCACCACCGCATCGTCCTCCCCGGCTGCCCCCACGTTGGTGTGCAGGACAGGTTACGATGGCTGAGCCCTTTATCCTCTAAGCCTTGTAGCAATGCTGACTGTGTCTGGGCAGCTCTTTAATTCTACCTTTTTCCCCCCTTTTTGTAGATTTACGATCAGGTGCTGTTGGGACATTAGCGCATATACGACTTATCCCAGTTATCATCCTCATGTCTGTCTTAAGTCATCAGAGGTGACCTTATCCTGGCAGAGGCTACAAAAGATTCACCAGGCACTGGCATGAAGAAAGAGTCTTTGTAAAATGGACATTTAAAACCAAACTACCAAAGATTCCTCCACTGACTGACTCAAAAGTTAAATAAATACATAAATAAATAATAAAAAAAATAATTAAAAAGCACTGGGGACATAAAAGGCATCACGGGAGTGTAACTCACTATGAACCATGCGTGAGAACGAGATCTGGCCTAAGTAAGGAAGAGACCTTCAGGTGCTTTTGTGGTCAGTAATGAATACAGCATCATCTGGTTGAACTCTCGGAAAAGAGCTATAGAAACCCTTGTCAAAGCACAAAGTCATGGCTGGTTTTGTTTCAAATGAATAGTTTGCTTGTTACCATGGAAACCTAATGGCCTGCCAAAAAAAAATAAATGAAGGAGTGAGAGAGGAAATAAAAACAAAAAGAGAGAGAGAGAGAAACACCTCACTGTAAACAGGGTATGTGAAGAGCTGGCATTCATTTTCCCTTCAAGAAGGTTTTTAGTACAGAGTTAAATAAATGTAGGCCCTTTCTACTTTGGCTGTCACCTCCCCTAGAGAATAACCCTAAATCAGAGCTGTTTTAAGACATTTATGTTTCATTTCTCATGGCTATGCTTGATAACTGTATGCTGTCTCCTTTTGCATGCATTACTATCCAGGATGTGCGACCTGGGCTTACATATTACACAGGCTTATCGGAGTTTGCTTGCGGCCACTCGAACACCCCTCTCCCCTCCCCAACTAAGTCATCTGTTCTAATGAAGTGAAGAAACCAAACCACCGTCTTTTATAAATTGCCATGGAAACCAAGTGCCTTCAATGAAACAAGCCTGATTTAAAAATAAATAAATGAATAATAAAAAAATAATAATTTCAACACAGAAGCTTGCACTGCTAAAATGTGGTTTGTGCAAACTATTTTCTAAACAAACTACGGAGCCTGGGTGTGCAGACTGCAGGCAAGGAGATGAAGCCGCTTCTGGAGACGGATGGACCTAAGCTGCTGCGTAAGCCCTTTTGGATGAGATATTTGTTGTTTAACCTTCCAGACAGCCATGGCCTTTCAGCTTATTATCCATTAGAAAATAGCTTCTGTTGGTCCTGGAAATGGGAGCAGCACTTTTTTTGTTGTTGTTGTTGTTTTTTCAGGTTATCAAGTGGGTCAACCAGAGGAAAAGGTTGTTAAGATACACTTAGTGCAGAAGGTGGTAAAACGCAGAAGTGATTTTCTTACTCTAACCTCCATTCGCAAGGCGGTCGGCCCCAGCGTTAGCGGGACGGGGAGGCGTGCGTGGGGGATGGCAGCGCGTACCGAGACACCAAGCAAACCGCAGAACTCTCTGCAAACCTGG